TAAATGTTACTACACCCAAAAATCCTTTTTTTCAGTGTAGATTTTTGGTCGTATTGCATATTTACAATTGTCCTTTTATTTTGCATGAGTGATTTTTGGTTGTTTTTTATTAAAAAAAACTCATTTATTAATGACTTCTCAGTGGGTTTGCTCAACCTGTCAGCTTATTAAAAAAATGCATGGATTTCTGTGTGAACGGTATCATACTGTGTGCACATTTGCCTGTGATGCGTTTGGTTAGGATTATATGTGATTGTATAAATGCTTATTTAAGTAAGAGACAGTGCCCATAAGCCAGGCAGTCACAGAATAGAAGAGCTTCTTCCTTTTTTTTTCTTTAAGAATGTCTTGCAACAGATGTTGCATCTCAATGCCTCCCACCTGACAGAGGACAAGAAATTAATCTGTGCTGATCCAAACACAGCTCTTAAGGGTTTTATTTTCCTCGACACATGTGACGGTAACTTCTGGCTGGTTTAGTTGAGCCTCCGCAACAAAACGTTTTGCTGAACTTTTTGCGCTGATCTCTACCCATTAGAGGGGAAATAGTGATTTACTTTTGGGTTCAGAAATTGAATGAAATCATTTTAGGTTATCACAAAATTGATTCACATTCAAGGTTCTCATAMTCCGGAGGCTGCAGGTTTGAGTCCAGGTTGTATCAGGAAGGGTGAAAAACAATTGCATATTTTTTCGTGGGAGTTTGCTCGCTGTGGGAAAAAAAGGCAGCATCGAGAAAAACAACAAGATTTATATGTCCTTGAATGTGTTGTTTTTTTCTCCACAAACAGTTTTACAAGTGTGGTCGCAAAAGCAGAAACACGTTGGAATAATACCAGACAAGTCTGCGTATATGATAATCAAATATGATTTAATTATGAGCAACAAACAAACAGAACCGAATCAGGAAGTTCTGCATGCTTGCGACTGAACGCATCAGCAGAATTCAGCCAATAATATACATCACGTCAACACCATGTGACAGTTTACAACCAATCACAAATTGCCAAATATACTGTCCAGCCAATCACAAGACTCCCACCAAAAGAGTCTGTTAGAGTTCAGTCCATTGTGGAATCGTCCGGAGCTGTCAGAAAGATAAGAGTGATGGACAGTGTCAAGGGGAAACAGATATAAATAATTAGACCATGACAACAAGTACTTGGAATATTCTGATGCTTAACTGATCCCCTCCCCCTCCCTCAGACAGATCAATTATTAAAAACAACTATATACAAACAGAAACTAGAGCTTATTTTTTGTCATTTGGTTTATTCTAAGTAAACTTGGTGATTCATCAGTACCAATAAACTRCACGTTAGTTTTCCTCAAAGCTTCATTTTGTGTTGAATTCTAATTCAGCCCCAAACCTATTCAGAAATGARCCTTCCTTCTTTGTGCCTGCTTCTGTTGATTTGTATGGATGTCTGTTTAGGGTTGAMCTCTTAAATAACCCTTCCTGCTGCTGTAAGCCATATTTCTTTTGTGCCACATTTTCAATATTTTTACTGTTCCCCTGCAGGTCAATATCTGACTCAAATGCTGTAAAGAAATAAACAGARAGGAGTCTTTATGTTCATTAGTTTTCGTCTCTCTGCCTCTCCACAGTGAATGGTACCTGAACGGTAACTACCTGGTCATCATCGTGTCTGCGACAGTAATTTTGCCCCTGGCTCTCATGAAGCAGTTGGGTAAGTGTGCGATATTATGATCTTTTACAGCAGGACACYCTGTTTCAACAGTACGTCTATATCRGGCCACAGAGGCGCTAATTATAGAATGTTAGTTAGCCACCAGAAACAGTGGCTCAAGTTCATACAAGTCATATCTAACCCTGTTTCTATTATTTAAAAAAAGTTTTAATTATCAACACTGGTCCGAGTGATACCATTTAGTTTAACTAGAACAGAATGTCTCCTTTATAGAAGATATGTGGAGCGTCAAAACAAAAAGGAATGAAGAAAAKAGGGCAGAAAGTTCCAGGTTGGAAATGATTAATGGGAACATTTATGACGGATCTTTTGTTAGATGTTCATCTCCTGCTGAGACACAAAGAGAAAGAGGAGAGACGCAGTGAAACACTAACACACATTTAAGAGAGTACCTTTCATTAGAGATGACAAACTATAAAAATGTGATGTAACCTGTGATGACTGGAATGCTAATGAAGTGTTTGTATTTCAGGATATCTGGGATACACCAGTGGTTTCTCATTGAGCTGCATGGTTTTCTTCCTCATTTCTGTAAGTCTTCTGATCACACGTGTGAAGCGCTCGTGTTTCCTGGTCCTCGTCTCATCCTCGAGATGCACCAGCTCTTTAGTATTCTCTGCTTCTCTCTTCTCATTGGACTAATGTTTGCATGCTGCAGTTTCAGGCTATGTTGGCTGTCTGCTTTTCTCTGACCCAGTTTCAGCTTCGTGAGCTGTAATCCACTCGTTCTCCCTCCCTCACTCTTTTTTTTCTCTCTATGACATATTTTCTGCCCGTCTGCATCATAACTGCTCCCCACAGTCTTTCTTCTTTTTTTTTTTTTTGTTTTTGTTTAACTCTTGTCATCTCTGCACTGCACAGGTCATCTACAAGAAGTTCAACATGCCATGTCCGTTCGTGGACTTTTACCATAACAGCACCGGCCATGAGMTGAACGTCAGTGCCGTCGACCACGGCGGGGAGCCAAATCCAGCGTGCATCCCCAAGATGGCCAACCTCAACATACAGGTTTGTTTATGCATGTTGGTCATTCTCTGTGAAACTGCAAGCCCTCCTGCACTGCTATGGCTACTGATGTCACAGTCAGCATGTTGCCGGCCCCTCTTCACGATCCAAGCATGGAAACCCCAGTTTGAAACAGTCAGCCACAAGAACACACCAGAAACTTTAAAAGGGACATATCAGGCAAAATCCACTTTTTTAGCAGTTAAATGCATTTTGTTGTGCACTTGGATTCTCAAGAAGTGCAGAAAAGTTGAATTTAGTTTCTCCCGGTGCTGCGTAAATATTTTTATATTCTGTTTGGGTCATATTTTTCAACCAGTTCAATTTTCTTTATATTTTCTATGACGTTTGTTGAACTTTTGCCTCAAATTATTTGGATTTTAGATTTAAAGAAACAGCGTCAAAACGAGTTGATCTGAGACACGTCAGGATAGAGGCTGAAGAGGGGCTTGTGGAGTTGCAGTAAGGAGGAATTCAGATCAAAGCATTGTAGTTCCACTTTATAGAGACCCCAAACTGAATGGTTAAATGTATATGTGTCCTTTAATAATTTTAAAGCTCAAAACTGGACCACCAGGCTGAAAAAACACAAGAAATGAATTAAAAACATTGCAGAATTTAATGAATGAAGGTTTTTCAAACATTCAGTCATGATTCTTGCCTCTTTTTTTAATCAAGTTTATATCAGAGTCTCTACTTTTCTGACTCKTGCTGTCAGGACCAATCCCCCCTGCTTAGCAGTTTACAATCAAGGCTTTTTTTAAATAGGCTGAAGCTGTTTTTCTGCCAACACCAAGTAAATCACAGGAAACAATTAGCTCTCTGTGATTTGTCAGAGGGAATAATGGGCAGTAAAGTGTGAGGTTGGTGGTAAGACGTCTGGGTTGGCACTGCTGTATCTATGGTGACCTGTTGGGGTTCATTTGCAGACGGCCTACACCATTCCCATCCTGGCGTTCGCCTTTGTGTGCCACCCTGAGGTCCTCCCCATCTACACAGAGCTGCGCAAGTATGTTCTCATGATAGAAAAGTCATGCTAGCTTTTATTTATTTGGATAAGAACTCAGCTGCATAAATGTAAAAAAAAAAAAAAAAAACAAATTAAATAAGGAAAAGCTGCTGTGCTTTATTCTCGGCTTGCCACATTCTAGTCACACGCACTGCTTTCACTTTATTTTTGAGAAGCCTCAGCATTGCTTGTGTGGTGTAGCATGTTAGCTTAAAGGAATGATCCGGCTTTGAACCACTGCTGCTTCTGTTTTCTGGTTTGTTTCATAAATCTCAGCACATTTTTGGAAGAAATGTAGCTCCAAAGCTGAAGATTGTGTTAAAAAAAATTTTTTTTTGTATAATAGTAGA